AGCTTTGACTGTCATTTGCCAAACCTACTGCTGTATTGTAATTTCCCCTATTTCATGTAAACTGTAAAACGTGCCGATTTTTTGTGAAAGTTTTGTGATTGGAACTCGTACTCCACACCATGCTTGGCTGATTCGATGTGTATCGGTGATATTTTAACCTATAAGAAGTAGCGGTAATGATCGGTTGAAATTTTGAAAAAAATTATAGCGATAATGAGTTGAAATTTTTGGCGATGTAGCGGTAATGTTGAGCTCCCCAAGGTTCAATGTGTCGACTTTAATTACACAGCTGATTCCATAGACAACTAATGTCATTTTTGTAAATGAGAAATAGCAGATGACCAAGAATAAGTCTTTGGGGTACACGAGCTTTAAAGGTACTAAGACACAAAATTGAAGTTACATGTCTAGAGAATTTTCTAAAATTTTCTGTATATTATCACGACATATATATTCAATTGCAATTTAGCTTTTCACATGAAAATACAATAAAAATCTTATATCATCTCAGAATTATTGAAACTTCGAACTTGTGGACTGGTTTGATTGACATACATGTATCCTCCCTTACTCACATTTTTTTAAATTTCATTTTTAATAATTATGAAAAGTGGCAATTTTGTTGTGTATTAATGTGTATTAATGAAAAATATCAAACAATTATCCAGAAAATTCAGAGTAGATATGCTCGAAAGCAAAATTCCCTCAAAGTACATTGTCAGTCCTTGTTCATTGGTGTGTACCGACTTTACCAACTGAACACACCCGGTGAGTCGTAAACTTTAACGATAACAGAGCTCGTTCAAGGATGAATTCAATCTACTATGAATCTTAGATCTAGATCTGTCTTGACCCCCACCCCTCTTTTTTATTTGTCTGATCTGCTTCTAACATGCATTAAAGTATAAATATTGCGGTCATACGAGATTGATCGCCGGTTGCAAGCTAGCTCAGTTGGTAGTGGACTTGTCTAGAATATTTCGAGGATCCGGATTCAAATACTATATCGCAATCTTCTCCGCCATATTTTTTTTCCTTACTCGTTACATATAACTTAATTATGTCAAACAAAAGACAGTTCAATGGAGTGGAAAGAAATTGTGTTTCAACATCGATGTAGTCTTTCTTTAACAACTAATCAAATAGGGATGGATATCACCAAAATTTTCGTATTACGATATATCATATTTTTTCAAACCATAATATCGCAATATTTTTACGAGCCGGTTTTACAATGATTTTCAATTAATATTCACATTTCTCTCTAAAATGAACGGAAAAAACAACATAATTTCATTTTTTAGTGTAAGCAACTTTGGATGCTACATGTACGATGCCATGTTTTACCTTTTAAAATTTTTACACTTCTATAGATGTAATGAAGAAGATTCAACAAATAAATGAATAAGTTCTGGAAATTATAGCTACATGCATGTACCTACAATGTAAATACCGGTTTCTTGGTCTCTGTAACACGATCGCGACATATCAATATTGTAAAGTAGGCTCCCCCTAAAATCTTCCCTACAAAAATCTCACACTAAGGTCAATTTTCCGGGGGGAGGGGGTGTCCTATTCTGTGTAGAAGGTGTAGAGTACAGTTTCCTCGACAGCCACCACTCCACCCCATCCCACCCCTCCAATAAAATATGCTTGAAGGGGAGAGGGGCAGTACAATGTCATTTCTTTAAAATGGTGACCAGATGCATTGAACATACGTATTCGAAGAATGAAAACTTTAAATCTCATTTTTCTCAGCAACTGTCAAGCTATAATTTATCTTTAGAGTTGATCAAAATAACTCAGTGAAGAATAACAGAATTGATAAAAAAAAAACGGTAGTCGAGTTAATAAAATGTGGTGCGATCTTGACAACCTGGACATTGCTAAGGAGGTCTCAGTGAGATTTTCAAAGTTATGCATATTGAGTTTATTAAACCTAAATTGCATAAACGTAGAATTCATTAAAGTCAAAGGATAAACTTGCGTGAATATTGAAGAATGAGTTTAATATGCATAACCAAGACGTAAACGAATGGAGGCATACTAGCATCGTCTTACAAGTGCATTTGAAATAATTATGTTTTTTTTTCTTAACAAAGTATGATTATATTAACAGCAAGACAGTTAAATAATTTTTTTTTCGTAACAAAACCCAGCGCAAATTAAAGAAACTGGGGGGGGGGGGGGGGGGGGGGGGGGGTAAGGGGTGCAGAAAGCCTTTAGCGTCAGATATCAAGAAATCACTTTTGATATGTAAATTGCGTATTTAAATTTACTTCTCATTATTGAAATTTATGAAATTATGAGGAAAAAACATTTTCTGAGAGAAATTATATCTCATAAAAAATTTTCATTTTATAAAAATATTAAATAGTATACGTGGGATTCAAACCCTAGGAATAAAATACCGAAATATCATACTGCTCTGAGACTAATACCTGCTCACATTTCTCGGCCGGTGGCCGTAGACCGGTAATCCGTGGTGTGAGTGATGCCCCAACATCGGTCCACATCGGTCTAGTAGTCCGGACTTACAAAGTCCCAGCGATGCATTGCTAATCATTAATGCCTAGGTCACATTTCCCGGCCGGTAGCCGTAGACCGGTGGTAATCGGTAGTAATCCGTGGTGTGAACGATGCCCCAACATCGGTCCACATCGGCCCAGTAGTCCTTAAAGTATCAGTCACATTATCCAGCGATGTGCATACGATGGGCAACCAATGCGTTTTATGAGAAAAATGTCGTGGTTGCCGGCCGGACTTACAAAGGTTCAGCGATGCATTGCTAAGCATAAAACGATGTTCCAGGATAATCGGCCGATGTATATTACATCGCACTTACATTGGTGAACATCGTTCGTACATCGGTCGACTACGGGCCAATGTTTGGTCGAACATCGACCGATGATCGGTCGTTATCTGTTGAACACCACTCAACCCCCGATGACCTCAGATTCAACAGATATTGGACGATGCTCGGCCAAACATCGGCCGATCCTTGAAAGATGTGTTGATGATGGGTTGCCGATGAGGAGAGATGCGAGGCATCGTTGGAGACATCGCTGAATTTTAACTACGAGTTATTTCCTACCGATGACCCCACCGATTCGCAAAAAAGACTCAGTCACCGTCCGATCACTAGTGGTGCTCGGCCGGCAACCACACCATTTTCATCAAAAAACGCATCGGTTTCTCATCGTATACCCCATCGCTGGATAATGTGACTTATACTTTAACAATGTCCCAGGGTAATTGGCCGATGTATGTTACATCGCTTATACATTGGCGAACATCGTTTGTACGTCGGTCGACTATGGGCAATTGTTTGGTCGAACATTGACCAATGATTTGCCATTTCTGTGGCCCACCACTCAACCCTCCGATGATTTTAGATTCAACGGAGACTTTGCGATGCTCGGCTATACATCGGCCAATCCTTGAAAGATGTGTTAATGATTAGTGAAGTTTCGCATTTTCGCGCTTCGCCGTCGCATCTGCGCACTTTCCTCTCTTCGCAAATCGCATTTCGCAACTTCGCCCTTGCAACTTCGCACTCTCGCATTTAAGGCGATGGTGCGAGTGGCCCCAGCGGAACACCATAGCAATTGGATCAAATACCATGGACATGTGTTTAAATTAAAAGAGAATATTCAGTCAAATCATTAAAACCTTTGAAAAGCGTATTTTGCTTCTTTCCGAGCACCAAGGACATTATTGGACAATGAACAGCCCTCGAATGTATGTCGCTTAATATAACCTTAGGCTTTACGCTCCCTTGTTCCTGGGCAATACCACAATAAGATAAAAAAAAACAAATTCAGACTCAGTGATTTCAGGTTTTCTTCATAAAAGAATGAAAAAGAATGAAATAATATTCTTAAATGGATTTATTAAGCATGTTGGAAATAAAATGTGTGTGTGTTGGTGGAGGGTGTGTGTGTTAGGAAAGTACATTTGCATTCTGCAACGAGTACAATAACCCTGTTTGCTTACATTTTTCAAATATGAATTACGTGTCACCAGTGTGCAATACACATATTTACCCTACTTGGTGTAATAGCTGCTCTCCGAAAAATATATGTCGAATTTACAGACCTGTATGTCAATATAATTATTTTTTTCGGAGAGCTACAGTTCTGCAGCTAAGTTTGTAGGACCTTGATACTGTAAACTCTGAAGGTTGTATTCATTTTTCCGTACACAAATTAATCTAGTTTGTTAATGGCATTCTTGTGTATGTTGTGCATAAAACATCGTATTGACCTTGAGAACGACAATACATTTACGACAATACAAATCGAACTTAATGGGACCAAAAAAATCGAAACATTTTTGGATTCGAAATATAGGCATTAAAAACAGAAAAAAAGAATTTCTGACTACCACCTGACATAACTATGGTATTGGAAATATCGGTGTGCGTTGTTGAACATCCCCTAGAGGATTTTTCTCTCGTATGCATGGAGACACAACCATTTGCCGATAGAGGGCAGTGAATTTACATAAACATCTATACATGGCCCTCAGGGCCATTTATGAATGAGGGTCTTTTTGCGTGCATGTCAACACTTACTATGACGAGGGACCTCGATCGGTTCATACGGTATCATCCGAAGGACCGATCTCCGCGTCCCGCAGTGGATTCAAATCCGCGACTTAAGGACACGGCGCCACGCGGAACACTTTTTGGTTAGAAGGAGAATACATACATTTTCACTTTACGATCCATAGAGCTCCGTCTTAACACAAACACTTAACACCCATGGATCACTCACTTCCCAATTTTGGAAGAGCTAGGGGGCCCCCTTTTTAAAAATTACGAACCTAGATTATATAAAGAATTTTAACCACTGTGCCAGGCCAGTGTAAAGATGTGTAATGACTACCATAGTAATAATGAAATGACGGAGTCATTTTCTAACGACAAAAACCCGAAGAGAAAAAACAATTTTTTTTTGTATGCACTACTGTACACAGGTATCTTCTTTAAATTTTCTTTATGACTAATGCCTTCATTTTTTTACTTCCTTAATGTCAAATCAAATCCTTTAATGGTAGTGCTTTGGGTCATGTTGCTGTGAAGATACATCGATAATATGCAGTTTTCTTCTTCTCTCTGTCGTTTGGAGTTTTAAGGTACCGAGATAATACCTGAAATTAGAAAACATCATTTCTGAGCATTGAAAGCAATGTAATCAAGCAAATTCAAATAATTGTGGTCCCTCGCTTTCGGTGTCTTAGTTTGTAAGGTGCTATTATATATAGCATATTGTGTTAAATATTAATTCCCTATCATATATTGTCAATTCCAAAGCAATATTTTGAATTAAGGTCAAATAAAAAGGTCAAGGATTATAATCATTCCAAGGTCTGAAACATCTCGATCTTGTCTCACAAAAGGGACATCAAAAAATAAAACCAAAATCAAATGTTACAATGAAAACAAGACTCACCGGGGTAGGGCGGTGCCACAATGGCTGATCAAAGGTTTACATAGAATATATAGGAAAAATCTTAAAAAATCCACTGGGCCAGGAAAGATAAAACTCTTGTCGAAGCATCCTTAGGTGGTGTAGATTCAAGTTTGTACAAATCTTGACACCCGGGGGTAGGGCAGGGCCACACTGGCTGATCAAATTAATCCTTGCCCTTTTTTTTGACCGGGGCTCACCTGAGCACATTGTCTAGGAAAAAAGCACAGATCAGGTCAAAACTGAAAAATTGAGAGGCGGGGGGGGGGGGGGGGGCGGGGGGTCGCTTGGTTATGATTTGAACAAACTAAAATATACATTAAGGGGGTTGATTCCATATAAATATCACTAATCATGGCTTTGAAGTACTTGAGAAGAAGATTTAAAAAGATTTTCATATATATTCTTATGAAAGAGTTTCATCGGCCATTGTGGCCCCATCCTACCCCTGGGGGTCATGATTTGAACAAACTTGAATCTACACTACCTGAAGATGATTACACATGAGTTTCATCTTTCCTGGCCCTGTGTTTCTTGAGAAGAAGATTTTTAAAGATTTTTCCTATATACTCCAATGTAAAACTTTGATTGGCCATTGTGGCCCAACCCTACCCCTGGGGGTCATGATTTGAACAAATTTGAATCCACACTACCTGAATATGATTCCGGGTGAGTTTCATCTTTCTTGGCCCAGTGGTTCTTGAGAAAAAGATTTTTAAAGAATTTTCTTATATCCCAGATAGCAAGCTTACGTTGGCCCAATGTTGGGCCACCGTTGTAAGTTACGTTGGTCCAATGTCGGAAAATGATATTGGGCCAATGTAATTTTGCTCATCGGCGCAACGTTGCGCCGACATGTTGGCGCAACGTTGGCCCAATGTCATAGAACGATAATTCTGACGTTGGTCCAACGTTGGGCCACTGTTGTCAGTTATGTTGGCCCAATGTTGGGCCACTGTTGTAAGTTACGTTGGTCCAATGTCGGAAAATGATATTGGGCCAATGTAATTTTGCTCATCGGTGCAACGTTGCACCGACATGTTGGCACTACGTTGGCCCAATGTCATACAATTACAATTCTGATGTTGGCCCAATGTAGGCCCAACGTATTTGTGCACCTACATGTAGGCAGTACATTGGCCCAATGTCAAACAATGATAATTCTTATGTTGGCCCAATGTTGTCCCAACATATTTGTGCATACGGATATTTAGAAATCTATGAAATTCCATGGAAATATAAGAAATCCCAGGAAGATACAATGAAAACTGAAATAATGATAACATCACAATTTATCATAGATCAAATCTATATTTTCAAAATTAAAAAAATCGTTTCTTTTACAATGTGTTTTAAAACAAATATTACACATACATTTATAGATGTACAATGTAAGCACATTTTTTCAAAGTATTCTCACTGATCGACATTTCTTTGTAATAAAACAAACTATTTCTTTTTTTAAAATATGGCATTTGACTTAATGACATTGGAAGAGGTCATTGCAGTTACAATGAACTTCCAGTTGCCCATGTACATTTATCGTACAAAGTTAATGACTAGACTAGAGTGACAAACACATGTATTAAGTACAAAATATCCACTACACAACTATATTAATAAAAAGATCCCATAAAATCAACACATGCTATTTTTCCTCGAATATGCCAAAGATCCTAATTAAGTTAGATCCGAAATTTCTCAAGTGTCTGCTTGAATCACTTCCTCACTGATATCCCATGAAATTCACAATAATAAATAAATAAAAGATGGCGTTATGTTAGAGGGCAACCAAATAACTGGTCATGTCACGAACGGATTCACTTTAAGTAGGAAGGTTCGGAAAGTTCAATGTTGATCATTTCCATAAACACTTCAAACTTTGCTGGCACAATTTCTGAAAGAAAAGATGACCATTAGGATGTATTATCATCAATATCTATCGCATATTTATATATATAAACATAAATATATGACATATAATAAAGTAAGGCTCTACAAGACTGTAAAGACAATTGTTTATTTCAACCTGACAGTTCAGTATAGTGTAGAATAGAAATTCACTATCTTGCAGTGTTTTTATTTAGGCAAAATTAGGCAAGGGGTCTGGGGGCCGCCTTGTGGGGCCCAGGGGGCGAAGCTCCTAGATTCTAGAGATTTTGTAGGGTAAAAATGAGGTATACCAATTAGACATATTAATTTTCTAGACGAAACTGTGATTTATGCTAACTTTGACAATTTTAGGGGGGAGCGTGCGCCGGGTGCGCCCCCCTTAAATCCGCCACTGTGTTTAGATTACCCATCAGAATCCATTGCTATGTATTTTTAGGAAAAGGAAATTAAGAACATATAAACCTCTTGTTAACTTGGTATATAGTAGATGCAATATTTTTTATAGTTTTATGCTAAAGGATACAAGTTAATAAAAACAATGTTAGGTTATTTGTGTTACTTAGATAAAAAAAAATGAGCTGGTTCTCACCAATTTTACAAGCTGACTATTCGCCGGCGCTGTAGGAATCGTCTCGGACACAGTCCACTGCATGCAACTATTAAATAATCAAAATAAGTGCTGAAAATGATCTTGAACATGTGTTTAAAAATAAATGTATATTATTACATTGTACTATAATCTCTGAAAATGTTGATGATAGGAACACCAAAATTCCTGAATCGATCCCAAACGAGTTAATTCGGGTTGAAATCCATATTTTTAAAAGATGTTTAGAAGTGTTCAATTATTATAACAAAATTGAAATAGCGCTTGCTCAAACGATTTCACTACCAGGCGTTTTATGTGTAGTGTCCTGACTAAGGAACGAACTGTACCAGAAGCAATTATTCATTCAAGGACACATGTTTAAAATATTTTGTACATTGTAATTGTACATACCGCAGCACCGTGTCGTAAAATGTCTTCATCTTCTGTCAAAACAGAAATTCCATCCAAAGCTAGTCATGATTCTCCTTTTCGCGACACTCTCCTCCGAACTTTCCTCCTGTAAAACATCAACATGGCTGCGTGTAACCCACAAAAAATTCAAATTTCGGCGCGGTGTGTTGTTTAAATTAATAGCTTATCGAGCCCGACTTCGATCCCGACGTAATTGTACTATTAGTCGACAGTTTTAGTGAAACAAGTTATATTCCATAGTTTTGAAAATCTACATAAGGGTTAAATAAATAAAAATGATTAAATAAATAAGAAATAAAAAATAAAATAAATAAATATTTTTTTAAACGTTTCAATATTTTTTTAAACGTTTCAACATAAGTCAGTTGAATGTCGGGCCAACATTACAAAGATGTCCATACTTCAACATTAAAAATAACAATGTTATGGCACGTAGCAACAGCAACGGGGGGGGGGGGGGGGGCAGGGGCCTATAGTGAAATCAAGGAAAAATAGCAAACAAATTGGAAGTGAAAGGAAATTGGCCACCACCACCCCCATCCTTTTGTTTGTCAACTTTTTCAAGTAAGTAAAAAAAATATATATGCCCCCCCCCCCCTTTCCTCACTTTTAAGAACGATGCGACGTGCCTGATGTTGGCCCGACGTTAGAACAATGTCAGTGCACCAACTGTTGTAATTACAATGTCGGACCGATGTTGGAACAATGTCAATACACCGACTGTTGTAATGACAATGTCGGACCGATGTTGGCCCAATATCAATCTGCCAACCGCGATATGTAGCCGATCTACCAACCATATGCCAACATCGGCCCAACGTCAGCTTGCTATCTGGGATACTCCTAGGAAAACTTTGATCAGCTATTGTGGCCCCATCCTATCCCAGGGGTCATGATTTGAACAAACTTGAATCTACACTACCTGAAGATGATTACACATGAGTTTCATCTTTCCTGGCCCAGTAGTTCTTGAGAAGAAGATTTTTAAAGATTTTTCCTATATACTCCTATGTAAAACTTTGATCGGCCATTGTGGTCTCACACTACCCCTGGGGGGTCATGATTTGAACAAGCTTGAATCTACACTACCAGGGTCTGACAAATCCCATTGCCCGACGCCCGGGGCTAGTGAATTTTTAAGGGGGGGGGGGAGGCAAGTGAATATTTTTAATAGGTACATGCCCGTGGGCAAGTGACTATAAAAAAATCAATAAATATTTTTAAAAATGTTATAGGACAGGAGTCTGAAGTTCTTATCGTCAAAAAAAAAAAAATCCGGAAAGAAATTTTCCTATCTTCAACTAAAATACACCATGATGGCAATATGTTTTGGGGGGACACACTTAAACTAATAGATCTGGGCTTGGCCTAAAAAATCTCGCAACAAATTCAGTATTCGGAGCGTTTTACTATTTATTCAAGTTAAGAAATCCAATGTGCTTGACAACTACAGGCCGTTTCTGGCCCTTTTTCCACTTTAACAGCTCATCCTGGACTCCATGCCACTAAACTGGAAGTAAATCTCGCAGTGTATATTTGACGTCTATGAACATGATCATGATGATGAAAGCTTGTTCAAAAAAAATAAAATAAATAATTATTCAACATATTTTGATTCAGTTATTTTAAACATATTTAAGAAAACTTTAAAAGTTATCAATTCTTTTTCTTACTTGTAAGACGATATGTACCAGGGACAGATAATTCTATTTTTACACGGTGCCAAATTTAAATCATTGAAAAGCCAAGTCAACAAAGAGCCAAACAGCTTGTCTTACCGACCTGATGAGGCATTATTTTGTTTTAAAAATATATATTTTTTTAATTGATCACATGTGGAAACATATTATTGTACATGAAGATTTACATACAATTTTTTTCTTTTCTTCAATTACGTTAAATATTCACTGCGGTGTTCACTTCCAGTTTAGTGGCATGGAGTCCACTCCATACTCCACTAATCAACCTCTTTCAAATGACACCAAGGTCAATGACTTTGTGACCTTGACTGTGACCTTAATGCTAAAAATAGCTTTTTCCAAACTTGCCGCCGGGCGCATAGTGTTTCACAAACACATCTTGTTTTTTTTATGGTCTACTTACCCTCTATACTAGTACTGTGTGTACATCTGTCATCCACATTCAGCTTAAGTACAGGATCTTGGCTAGAAGTTGACAAAAATTCAGGATACCTGTAATTTAAAGAAATATCAGTAAGAATGTGCTGCAAATCTCATATTCCATATAATATCAAATATGACACTATACCGGGGCAAAAAAAATATACATGACTGTACTCATGTTTCCTGTCACCTGACCTATCCTCCATTTTACTCTCCAAACCTCATAGTTTTTTTTTTCACGTTTTCATTTTTTTTTGCTATTTTCCCAAAATGTTAAAATCGGCCAACAATATTAAATGTTTTTTACAGATGAGTTTAAGAAGGTTTTAATACAAAACTTGGGCAGACCTGTCGAAAAAATTATTGAACATACCAATGAGAAGTATGAAAGCCCTAACACCAACTGTGCAAAAGTTATAAGTTATAACTAAGGTTGAAGAGTGATATATTTTTGTAAAAGTGGTCAAACTTCAAGGTCAAGAGGTCAAATTTGGTGGTGGTGGTACCCAAAGAAAGGTCTTGTCACAAGAAATACAAGTGTACAGCAGTGAAATATGAAAGCCATAGCCCCACTCACTCCAAAGTTATAAGCAAGGTTAAAGTTTTTGAGGACAAACAGCCAGATGGACTACAGGGCAAAATCTATTTACCAATACGTCTTATTTCAACTATGGAAGAGTTTAAGATTTTAGTGCGCTCCTCTGTAAAAAAGTTGCAGAGTGTACAAATCTTTCAGGATTTCTGGGACAAACTTAACATAAACATGTAAACAATATGTTGGATGTCGATGAACAAATCCTAACAAAAATCAAATGAATCATTTTATTGTTGTGGACTTTATACATGTTATATGCATGAAGAGTAGAAAGGACAAAAATATCAATTTTTATCTATTGTTTATCATATGTATTTAATTATCATCTAAATATAATTCACATGCTTTGGAAATGTATTTTACTACTGGATGATAAATGAGATGGGAGTACGAGAACATAACAAGGGATAAGCCAATAGCGCAACAAACATAAAGGTGAAAAAATTAAATCTCATTACAATATGTTATGTCGCGACTACCAATGAGTACCTCGCAGTTATCTAACTTACCTCCGCTCTTTTGCGAGGGAATCAAGAAAAGTCTAAATTTCTGGGGGCAAATGACATTGTTTACATTAGTGACAATCGAATGATTCGAACAATTTAATGCCAAAATCACGATGTTTTGCCAGATATTGAATTCCAAATAGTAGATTGTCAAATAAGGAAAGTTAAGAATATTTTATATACTGAAAAATGTGACGATTTTCAATGAAAATTTAACTATTAGAGTCCGCTTAATTAAACATATCTTTTAAAATGTGACAATTTAGGATTGGCTCCTCTCAAAAATGTATAAGGCTGGTTCAGCGATTGTCTAGCGAGGTATTCCACCAGGATTTTTTACTTATCTGTCCTTATAAATGCTACAATGATCGATCTTGCATTAATTGTATTGAATAGCACATTGCTCCCACCCAACAGATGATTCCTACCTCCTTCATGAAAGAGTTCAGCTAAGTTAAGTAATTGCGATATCAAGTATTGTATCAAAATTTTCCGAAATATTTCATCTAAAATTAAAGTATACTTTATGTAAATCTGTCAAATCTCTACAACTTATACATATCTCATGAAGATTGAAGTTTTTGGCCTGTAAAATATAATACACACGCAAAAAGGGGCAAATTGAGTCATTTTTTCACACTTTTAGTGTTGTAAAATTGGACAAATTTACTATTATCAAATTGAATCGGAAGAACACAATCACTTATATAATTATATAATTGATAATTTTAAATGTTATAAAAGGTTAGATTTATTCATCCTTAGAAGTATTTTAAAAAGACAATGCACCAGGATATGGATATAATAATTATAACCTCTTCACCATGCACGTTCTCATTTTGTTTACTGCTGATTAGAGTGATGTCCCTTTGGTGAATATAAAAGTTAAACCTGCTCGGCTTGAGAAATACGGCTTGAAAAATATAGTGATCTATCGATGATAATATTTACAATCGATTGTCGCCAATCTGGGCCTTTAAACGACGATTTTTCGATAGCATACTTGCCAACTCACCCGATTTCGTCGGGTCACACCCGATTTTTCAACCCGTAACCCGATTATGTTTTATGACCCGGCGGGTCATGCTTATCACCCGATTTTTGCCAAACAACCCGAAAATCTCCCGATTTCCGGATTTGGTTCGTAAATTAGGTTGCACTTTTAACTTCCAGTTAAAACCCAAGCTTAGATCTACGCGTAAACAATGTCGATGGATTAATTATCAGTGCAGGTGTAAACAATTAACTGGGTGTTGTTTTGACAATTCAATGTCTGAAGTCAATTAAAATGGCTTCCGATAGAACTAGATCGTTATCAGGGCCAACAGGAACAAATTGAACCAAACACATGTCTCTGATTGAACCAAGAAAAAGAGAAACGATATTTATGCAAGTTACATATCAAGGAATCTTGGGGGAAAAAAAACCTTTCATTCTAGATAAAATAAAGTGATCGAAGGCAGTGTAGGCCTAACTTAACATTTAAAACATATTGCAGTAGTTAATTAATTAAGAGAGAATTAAAACATATTGCAGTAGTTAATTAATTAAGAGAGAATAAAAATAACTTCAAAACTGAAATTGGTATACTCCCAAACAAAAACTTTTCTTAACAAATCATGCCAAAATCACATACAAACCATATCAAACTCACAAATTCATGATTTTGAACTATGATTCAGACAGTATCCATTAAATGGATCATACTGAAATCATAGATGACAAATAAGGAAGTATGGTCCTGATGTGGTTTGTTTCTGGGGAATGAGTCTGCTATGATTTTCTTGCGATTCTGACATGTGCAATTAACTTAGAAAACAAAGGAACATGAGTTTGAAATGATTCGTTAACTTTAACTGCTAAAGGTTTGTGATTTTGATATGGTTTCTTAACTTAGTCTTTAAACTCCATACGAGTTACACATGATCTGTTAACTTCTCTGTTGAGAATCATGAGTTTTATATGATTTGTTAACTTTGTCAGAATTGGTTGTATGATCCTGAGATGGTTTGTTAACTTTGTCATCTATGATAGGTGAAAATGCAAGCTTTAAATTCACTTTAGCTTGGAGAATCAAACAACATGCATACATCAATAAAAGTCATTTAAAAGAAAACAGGAAAATTAAGTTAAATGATTAAAATGCACACAGCATGTACAGTGTATAAGTATCAAAGACTATATTTTTTTTTAAATTGAATGAAATGACATACAAATTTAATACAATAATTCATATTTAAATTAGCACACATGTATTTTGTTTAAATAACGCAGTCAGAATTTTATTAAAACTCTTTCTCTTCATGTAATATTTGTGATCCACTCCCAATCTAACTTTGAGGCATAAGATAAGGATTGGATCACTGGTCGGTTTCAGAGTCGTAGAAACCTTGTTATGCAATTCTCCTGCTGGGCAGCACGCTGTAGTACAGTGGTTTGCAGCTGATCTAGGTCAGAATTTGAATTCTGATAAACAAGCTGTGCGCGTTTTCTTGTTGCCGATTTAAAAGAAAAGCCTTTGTATCATATAAGCAATAAAAATAAGTGCTGGACTATTAACTCTATTCTCGGTGAGTATAATTCATTAATTTTATTGTTGACCTTTTTTGATTTCTACCAGCAAGTGCATGATTCATTTTTCCTTTGTAAATGTTTAGAAGAGACATAGCAAAGCTTTACATGGATTTAAACTTAATTTAAGCATCAAATTGACCTTGTTGATTCAAATATATGTTGCACATGTACATGTTAATCGTTAAATACATTGCTTATTTATGAAAATGAAATTCTTTTGCAGCTACAGACATTTCCATCTTCATGATTAACATCTGGGTTGCATTCAAATCAACAAATTCAAAAGACCCGCCTTTGGTGAAGACAAAATTTGTGTACGTAAATAATATTACATTTCAACAATAGTATTCTTTTGGTGATTAATCTAATTCTTTTCACTAATGCAATGGGGAAAGTACTTGAATATTTCATATGTTCATGATCTAAAGATAATTATATGTTGATCGATAAATACCACTTTCTCTACGTTTCTTTTTAGGGTGCTTATGTACACATATAAAGAGCTTATATCAGAGGATAGACTGCTTCATTGAGAGCCCTTGTGAGCCCTTTGTGGTTCTGAATAATAGATCCACCACTCTCCTTATTCTGTAGTGAACAGAGTTGTAATTATATGCTTTTGCAGAATCATAAATAAACAGTGATATCAGTGAGTTCCGGATTATTCTTTAAGAAGAATGGATTTCTGAGATTCTGTTCTTATAGAATTCAGTGAATAATTTGGATAATGTTTTATACCCGGTATTTAAATCGTCATCTTATTAAGGAAGATCATTTGTTGGGATTATATTTATATGACGTCATGGTTCATGTGACATAAGTGTATAATATTTTTCTTAATTTTTGCTAACTGAAATTATTTATCAAATATTAAAGAGAACTTTATTGCAAATATCAAAGTGTTTAGTAAAATTGTATAAGAAGTAGAATTTTCCTATGAGTTGTTCAATTTAACAGATCATACCAGGATCATGATTTTGATACGAGTTGTGAGCTACAACAGATCATACCAGGATCATGGTTTTAACACGAGTTGTGAGCTACAACGGATCATACCAGGATCATGGTTTTAATACGAGTTGTGAGCTACAACAGATCTAACAGGATCATGGTTTTAATACGAGTTGTTAGCTACAACAGATCATTCCAGGATCATGGTTTTAATACGAGTTGTTAGCTACAACAGATCATTCCAGGATCATGGTTTTAATACGAGTTGTTAGCTCTACAACAGATCATACCAGGATCATGGTTTTCTTGCTAGTTGTTTAGTTTAACAGATCATCTCAGAACCATGATCCATTAGCTCATTTGCATGTGAAATTTTCCTATACCGAAATCATATCAAAACCATGATTTACACATGAGTTGTTAACATGATCCCATAGGCTGTTTTTTTCTGTTTGGGCTTTCAAATTTAGCAGAAACTGAAACATGTGAAAAGGCTTTTTAAAAAAAATGCACAATTACTTCTGAATCAGGTCAATATAGAAATACGAAACCTTCGATCAATTCTCATTTTTAACATGTGAATTAAATCAAATTATATATGATTTTTTTGTCATAGTAAATTAAATCCTTTTTCAATAAAAAAAAATTCTCAATACACAAATACTTTGTATATATATTATTAAATTTAATCATGGTAATTATGTCGTGAATGTCGTTACGCGTTATGACCAGATTTTTTACTTTCCAAATCTGGTCATGACCAGATTTTTACATGCTGGAGGTTGTCAAGTATGTTCGATAGTCAGCGACTATCACAACAACACTACACACTTTTTAAAACAATGTTTTGAAATGTATGAGTGGGTCTTCACTCCACTTTTTTTTTCAAGTTTATCCTCAAAGTTTGCATACAAAATGAAATATACTATTTTGATTTCCAAAATTATGGAGTAAAAACCCAATAAACCTTTTAAAAAATTATAATTTTATGATATAACTTTTGTATCTTTACGAGAAAAAAAGTCCACTGAGTCAATGGTCATATCACAAACATGATTTAAATGCCAATCCTCATCAGGACTTGTGTAGCATAGTGGTTAGCTTGCTAGTCTCAGTAGAGAATGCTACTCAGGATTTTTATTGCTAGGGTTCAATCTAATGGATACATGTACCACATTTTTATATCTGTGATAGTCAGTTGGTGAAAAAACTGCAAAAAAATTGCGTACAGATCTTGAGAAACGTGGATTTATAGGAAGTTGACATCGAATTTGCATAAAAATGAATCTCACTACCAGTATATAATATGCCTCGACAAAGAGTGTTAAAAAATTTCAAACTTCTTGCTACCATAGTAGTTGCTGAAAAAAAAAACATGAAAATTTACATGCACAGATAAACAGGAAGTTGATGTGAGATTTCCTAAAAAAAAATAATGCCACCATTATCCCTCAATATGTAATGCCTATAGAAAGATAGACAGACATGCTAATTCCAATTTACTCCCCAAATTTGATTGAGAATGGGTTAAAATAATTGTATGTTGTTATTGAATATTCCTCACAGTTGACTTGTAGGTAATACTTATCATTGCTGACTTGTGGGGAATATTTCTCACTGTTAACTTGTAATACTTTTTATTGCTGACTTGTGGGGAATATTTCTCACTGCTGACTTGTGGGGAATTTTTCTCACTGTTAACTTGTAATACTTTTCATTGCTGACTTGTGGGGAATATTTCTCACTGTTAACTTGTAATACTTTTAATTGCTGACTTGTGGGGAATATTTATCACTGCTGACTTGTGGGGAATATTTATCACTGTTAACTTGTAATACTTTTCATTGGTGACTTGTGGGGAATATTTATTACTGCTGACTTGTGGGGAATATTTCTCACAGTTAACAATTTTAGATAATATTTATCACTGCTGACTTGTGGGGAATATTTCTCACTGTTCACTTGTGAGGAATACACATGTATTGACCATTGCTTTACCCTTAAAACTTTGTTTCCATATAAATGTTGCCTTTGAACCCAACCAATAAATGTACACTTCAGTGTATATTGCTGACTTGTGGGAAACATTTATCACTTATTGGGAAATGCATTATTTTATTATACATGAACATTACAGATAAAAATTATTTTTCAACAAATAAAATAACTATCAAATCTTAAAAAAAATCAATCATCAATAATAATTGTATTGAAACTACATGTATTACTAATCTAATGTTTACAAGTCTTTTAAATCAAAGCACATTAATTTTAAAAACATTTGTTTTCCTTCACTAGATTTAAAACAAATTGCAAATTTTAATTTTCTCAGGTAAAAAAAATGTTTTCAATTCAAAAATAATATGTTGAAAAGGATAAAAAGTCATAAAATCAGGGGACAGTATATATAAGTACTAATTTAATCACTGATGGATTTAATTGGCCAATGACTAATTATTATTAACCAAATTTTGATTATATTTTGTAAAATTTTCTGATTATTGTTACACAGTTAGCATGGTTAGCACACATGTATATTTTCTGACAACTTCTCAGCATGTTCATGAGGCTTTTAACCTACTTTGAAATCATGAACAAGGACCAATTTTTTTTTTTATTTTAGATATACCGCTTTATATACTTCTATGTACATGTATTAGGCTTCATAACATACGATATCAGCATGCTTTTTTTTTATTATTTCTGTTTTTAGAGCAACGGAAGTACTGTAAACCAACTTTAATTGAGTGCAAGAAATATTTGCCAGTTTCATGACCTACATTTACTAGTGAATAGTAAATTATTAATTGCCCTGAACTATTAATTTTGCTTTATATTTGTAGAGAATGTTTCCTTTCATTAGTCACGGAAATTAATCAACACAGATTAGATATGCAAATAAAAGATGACACAAATAGGGTACATGTGTACTACCTGGTAGTTGGTTTACAGTACTGCTCACATATAGAGTTCAAAATGAGATTTTACAGCTATCTTGACTTACCAATACTAAATCCTTCTGTTTCCATACACAAATCCAGACAAAATGCTTTCAGTTATAATACTCTAGTTCTTTACATCCTTCATGTCCATGCAAGCATGTCTGTTGACTTTGACTCCAAGTCTCAGTCTCTAACATTTTCAAGAATAAAGTTGTATAATTTGCTCTTGTGGTGAAAACCCAAAAACCTGCAATGATAATTTTGCTTTCAGTTCAAAGATTTCATTGTATATTTTTTTTAAAGTGTTCATATCTTTACCTATAATTACAAGACAGGTATATCTCCACATCACTCAATAGTAATTTTTGACCCCATGCGGCATGCCAAAATTAAGACTTAATGTATGCCCTTTCCTGAACCATATTGTTAACAGTGGGTAGGTAGGTATGAAAAATATTTTACTTTTTTCCTTCTTGTGACATGGCCCAGAGAGCTTTCCCTTTTAAATCAACCGTACAATAACTGCGAAACAGAACACTTTCTCGTGGATGTTTGATGAGCAGAAACTGTTTTATATGCAAAAAATCAACGATACAGTACAACTTATTTTTAGGAATGACAGAAAACTGAATCAATACCTTAAATGATAGTCATTGAAATTGCATGATAGTGCTGTTAGTATTTATTTAAATTTAATTAAAATGAGAATAGAAATTTACAGCGTAAAGTTACCAGAGGCAGATTAAAAATTTTTAGAAAGGAGGAGTGGGTGCAGAAATCAAATGGTTTTTTTTAAAAAATAAAATAAAAGACCAAAATCAGGAAGCATTATCAGACCCAAAACTTTGAGCGCGATCGTTATATGTAAATAAATTTAAAAAGGTATAAATTCAGTTAAGCAAATATAAATAATTATGAATAATAGATATTGAATCTTAAAATCTCAACATTACCTTTCAATTTTGTAACCAATTTTAAATTTTTAATATGCTCGCTATCATAAAAGCTGATCTAATTGTTATTACTATGTTTCTCCATTTCCTCCAATTCGCATTATTTTGTATACCACGCCCAATCATAATTCAATAGTAATTGAGGTTTTGAAAAGGATTTTTAGTTATTTTTTACATATGATTTTGTTTCTTATTTATTCCATCAGCATCTAAACCCCAAGGCCAAGGTTTGAATTGTAACAAATTTTAACAAGAGGCCCATGGGCCACATCGCTCACCTGAGAAGCTTTGACCATTCTGTTCTTTACCAGATTTCACCCTTGTTATACATAATGCATCCCCACATTACCCTACTGATCATAATTTAGACATTTTGAAATCTACACTACCCCATGATCCTTCCATTGGCACATATGTTTCAGCTTTTTTGGCCCAGTGGTTCCTGAGAAGAAGATTTTCAAAGATTTTTCCTATATATTTCTATGTAAAACTTTGATTCCCTATAATGGCCCCGCCCTTCCCCCGGGGGTCATGATTCCTACAATTTAGAATTTACACTACCCCAGAATGCTTCCACATAAGTTTCAGCTTTTCTGGCCCAGTGGTTCTTGAGAAGAAGATTTTCAAAGATTTTTCCTATATATTTCTATATAAAACTTTAATACCCCATTGTGCCCCCCCCCCTTCCCCTGGGGGTCATGATTGAACAATTTGGAATCTACACTATACCAGGATGCTTCCACATAAGTTTCACCTTTTCTGGCCCAGTGGTTCTTGAGAAGAAGATTTTCAAAGATTTTTTTGTATATATTTCTATGTAAAACTTTGATTCCCCATTGTGGCCTCACCCATCCCCCGGGGGTCATTATTTGAACAATTTAGAATCTACATTATACCAGGATGCTTCCACATAAGTTTCAGCTTTTCTGGCCCAGTGGTTCTTGAGAAGAAGATTTTCAAAGATTTTTCGTAAATATTTCTATGTAAAACTTTGATTCCCCATTGTGGCCCCGCCCTTCCCCCCGGGGTCATGATTTGAACAATTTAGAATCTACACTATACCAGGATGCTTCCATATAAGTTTCAGCTTTTCTGGCCCAGTGGTTCTTGAGAAGAAGATTTTCAAAGATTTTTCCTATATATTTCTATATAAAACTTTGATTCCCCATTGTGGCCTCGCCCTTCCCCCGGGGGTCATGATTTGAACAATTTAGAATTTACACTTTACTTGGATGCTTCCACATACGTTTCAGCTTTTCTGGCCCAGTGGTTCTTGAGAAGATTTTCAAAAATTTTTCCTATATATTTCTAGACTATATAAAACTTCGATTCCCCATTGTGGCCCCGCCCTTCCCCCGGGGGTCATGATTTGAACAATTTAGAATTTACACTATACCAGGATGCTTTCACATAAGTTTCAGCTTTTCTGGCCCAGTGGTTCTTGAGAAGAAGATTTTCAAAGATTTTTCCTATATATTTCTAGATAAAAAAAAAAATTCCGCTTTGTGGCCCCGCCCTTCCCCCGGGGGTCATGATTTGAACAATTTAGAATTTACACAATACCAGGATGCTTCCACATAAGTTTCAGTTTTACTGGCCCAGTGGTTCTTGAGAAGAAGATTTTTTAATGACCCCACCCTATTTTTGTCTTTTCTTGATTATCTTCCCTTGCGAGGTGATATGTCCCTTCATTTTAACAATTTAAATTTCCCTTTACCCAAGGATGCTTTGTACCAAGTTTGGTCAAAATTGGCCCAGTGGTTCTTGAGAAGAAGTTGAAAATGTGAAAAGTTTACAGACGGACAGACAGACGGACAAAATGTGATCAGAAAACTCACTTGAGCCTTCGGCTCAGGTGAGCTAAAAATAAAAGGTGATCTTTAATTAACAATAAGTATTTAATTAAAATGAATTTATTAGACATTTTAATTGGGCCTAAATAAATAAGTAGTGTGTTTTCAGCATGTTTAGTTCCCCGCCTAACTCTAAGAGGTATAGGAGCCGACCCTCAATATTTTTTTCTGCTAATATCTTTCCATGAGTAAACTACTGTATGTATACTTTAAAATGCAGGCTTCATATTTTAGCGGCTTTGGTGCAGACAACAATGCACTAATTCATGAATACTGCTAAGAAATCATTTACATATTGATATATACAATACACCGCACATACATGTGTAGCGCTAATTTATGATTATGCCAACTCAGTGATTATGCTAAATTTTGAAAGCACCAAATTATATACACATATTACAGTATTCGGAATTCCAGTTTACAATTAGAAATGAAATCCCAATCTTGATCACTTCCATGTTTGAGAAATGCATATCTTACACATATTAATCAGAAATATTTTGACAGTGAAATCCTGGGGGAAAGTGGCAGCGTGCCTGCCAATAAAATGTTAAAATAAAATAAGAATGTTTTTCCATCCTACCTACCCTATCTTTTCTAAGGTTAAAATAGGAAACACTATCTATTTATCTTGGCCTTAGCAAAATAAAAAAAAAATACTTATGATACATCGATAATGATGGTCTAAAATCATGAAAATATTTTCAGTAGGGCAATCAGGATGAATGTAGAACAGGGTGCAGGTGAAAGATAATGAAGGCGAATGGACACTATGCAAACCAACGCATGCAAAGAAATATATACAAGTAGGAAGAATGACTTGATAAAAAAACGATAACTAAATCAAGCTTTTTTTGGAAGAATTAAACATGTTAAATAATCTAACCAAGCTAAGAAATTTTAGCTACGTAAATCTATAAATGTACTGATTTCAATGGACCTTTTGAAAAGGTGGAGTTCTCTGTGATACATTTCTGACACTGAGTCAGTGTGTGAGTGACTGACATCAGTTTATAAATACACGTACAGTTTAAGTCAGATTAACTTTTACAATTAATTCGCCCACACAGGCCTCACTAAACAGCTAAAGACCACACAGTCGCACCGTCTAGCATAATTTGTATGGGCATGAGGAGGATAGTCGCGTTTCACCAAAAATGGGGACAAGCCTTAAACGCTTACCATATCCCGGGGGTGCTGAATTCATATAAATCCGTAGTTTGTTCTTACAGGATAGCCATTAGGCCTATAAACATGATACAATTAAAAAAAAATAACCGAGGTCTAGGTCGGGTCAAACTTTCCCAAAGTTTTACGTGCATTCATTATTAAATGTTACTTTACGAACGTCTGTAAGAAATAACTGCATGCATGATTTACGTAGTTAAATTAAGTTTTCAGCCTATAATATCTTTAAAATATGATAAAAAAATCTACTTACCACATATTCTCGGAGCAGCCCGTGCCCGCAATAAATTGGTATCAAATGGGGACCAGTTTAAATTCCGCTGCGTTCCGAATGAACTTTTCCCAGCATCCTCAAACATTCGTTTTACGGTGCAGTGAGAAAACTACTGCGAGTCAATTTTACGGACTTATGGGGATTTTTTCAAAAATGACCACAAATCGAATAAATATTATCAGTAGAACACGTAGAATTCAAAAAACCCCATGACCATATTTGTGGGGAACGAGAGAGTTCCCCACAATTCTGAACTTTCCCCATAAGAAAGGTCTTTTGTCAGGTGTGAGTTCCCCACAAGTCGGTGAGCGCGAGTGCTCTCTCTCTCTCTCTCTCTCTCTCTCTCTCTCTCTCTCTCTCTCTCTCTCTCTCTCTCTCCTCCCCCTCCCCCTCCCCCCCCCTCTCTCTCTCTGAAAAAAACAATCTGTAATATAATAAATTGTGTATTCTGATTTATGAAACAGATTGTGTAAAATAAATAAAGAATTAAAAAAAAGAATATCAACAGTATCGTTTAAAGTCATCATTTTGTAAATGCTATGGCTGATACAATGATATTGTCAGCAAATAGAATTCCTCATTGAGACAAATGTTGACTGACGTTTTTCATATAAATTGTTAGTCCGTTATTTATACACTGAATTGACGACGGATTTTCCGGTATTTCCCGACAAGGATCACAAGGCGGATGTGACAGGTCAGCAGGGGATGTCCACTCCTCCATGGCACTTGATCCCACCTCTGATGTTTCGGACGTCCGTGTTCATTTTGCTCCTACTTTGTGTTGTTTTCTTGAGATTGAATACTGTTCGTTATCTCCATATCCTCCTTTTCTCTTTCTCTCTCATTTAGACAAATTAAACATGGTTTGTCTAATAAAATTTGTTTTAATCTGTTTCGTTATCAAAATTTATACAATGTCATTAATAAGATACTAGTATTCTTATATGTACATGCAATAGACCATCCTCCTTCATGAATAGGTATTTAGAAAAAAAATCAAGTTTGTATATGTTTGTGCTACCTAGTTTCCTAATGATTCACGCTTATATGATTAAAAAAAAATAAGTTGTGAAATTCCATTCAACTTATAACGTTTACTGTATCGATTCAATTAGTTAAAAAAGATTACTTCTAGCCTTTTACATTAGGTTAATTTATGCGGTTTTCTTTGTGTCACAAACAGCCTCTCTAAGACAAGAGAGATAACTCTACATATAATTCGGTTCAACATTTAAATTTTGCATCAACTAAATTCCTATGATGCTGTCAACTACATATCTTGGTGAACTTTTGTATGTTGGTGAAAACAAGGATTCACTTCATAAAAGATATTTAAACTATTTAAAACCACGACAATACAGTGTTAAAGGTTTAGCAGGTTTTAAAATCCAATAAATAAATAAACATCATTATCTCTTCAACTGGCCCTACAAAAATCAAAGTAAAAAACCCCAGCAATACACACCATATATGTATTCAGCAATACATACCATATATGTATTCAGTAAT